TCTCAGAATATTTTGTTTTTAAGCTTATTTTAAGGTTGTTTACTTATAACCATGACCGTAACAGTAAAGTCAACTATCAAAGTAGCTATGTGAATAGAGTAGTAATTATGCAAATATTTTAACCAAAGAAACAAGAATGCGAATGGAGTAAGAATTGTTAAAAGTTAGAATATTATTTTGTTAGATAATAACAGTACTTTACTTCATTTAAATTATTGTCTATATAGATAATTATTATCTAGAGATGTGCCGAATAGGTTTTACCAAATAATATTCGGTTTATCTTTGACCGAACCGTATATTCGGCCGAATTTATTCGATTACTATTTTATTATTTTTTTAGCCAGTGTTTTTAAATATAGCTAACAAAGTTGTGGAAGCAGGGAACTTATAGGAAGAATAAAATTTTAAACAATACTTATTTCAAAAGCGACTTATTCAAGAAACTGCTAATGAAGTGGGTCGGATATTTACTGTAGGTTATTAATTAAATGCTCATGAGATAAGTATTATTTATTCCCTTTTTATTGATTGGCGCCGGTTCTTCCAGGTGAAAGAGAAAACAAATAAGTTTGGGTTTCATAAAAATATTATTTGGTCTTAACAGTTTTTTTCGTTATGTTTCAAAATTATATGGGCTAATTGGTGACCGTTATACGCTATGTAAATTTCGGCTCTTTTTAGGGCATTTTACGTGACATTTTTTAATACCTCAGGCTAAATTTCTTCAATTTCGTGACGAATATTGTTTTTAAAATGTTGTATCGTTTAGGGTTTAATCACATGTGCAAAAAAAAAAAACAATTCGGAGTTCTGGCCATGTCAAATTGTCACTTCGCGAAATTAGTCTTCGTGGAAAAACGTCATTAATTATGGGATAGCGAAACGCCGTCACGATATACCTCGTATGGTCATGTTTTGAGACAAACATTTTACTAAAAAAATTACATAAAATGTTACTGGCTAGTATTTTATTTTACCCATTTTGAATTTGGAATGTTAATTTTTAGTTTATTTGTATAACAAATTCATTTGTTTATATTTTCTCGTGATGGAGGGAATGAAGCAATAACGTGCAATTGTCATTTCGCTATTTAAGGCGGTTAAAAAACCGATGCACATCAAAATCATCCGAGAGCGACTTCGCCGAAATCCATGTCGCACTCAGAAGAAACTCGCTCTGCAGACTAATATTTGGCGCGTTGCAGTGAACAGGATACTGAATTATGACCTTAAGGTATAGGCCTATAGTCGTAGAAGAGTTCACTTTTTAAACGATCGTCTTCATAAGTTACGACGTTAATGTTGTGCATTACTGCTGAGGAGACATGATGCCAGGAAGTTACTCTTTACAGACGACAAAATTTTAACTGACAAAGAAAGGTTTAATCGACTAAACAATAAAGTATACGCTAAAAGTAGCCAGGATGTTCCACCTTCCGCACGGGAGTTTCGTATGAAGGTGTCACTCCGCTCCATTTCTGCCAACAAGGTGTCAAGGTGGAAGCCAAGAATTATCAGAGTGACATTTTAGAGCCCGTGGTGAAACCCCTGTTTGATACGTTATTTCACAATAAAGATTGGGTTTTTCAGTAAGACTCGGCGCCGTCCCATAAGGCAAAAAGCATTCATGCTTGGTTGAGGGAGAATGTGCCCTCCCTCATCACGGCGGACGAGTGGCCTTCCTCCAGCCGCAACATCAACCCGCTGGATTATTCTTTATAGACTGAATTAGAGCTCAGGGCCTGCCGAAAGTCCCACCCAAACTTGGAGTCACTGAAGCAAATTCTTGTTATTGTATTTGGCCTGTATTAAAAACAAGGGTGGTCATTTTGAATAAAATATAAATTTTACTATTTATTATCTATTTAATGGTTACTGAAAATTTCAGAAATATAAGTCAAAAAAGTTACGCAACTTTTATTTGGTCTCAAATCTTATGAACACACGAGGTATAAGCCGATATAATTTTCCAATCATAAGACTAAGAAAAGCTAAAAAGATCAAATAAACTTATTATGACAATCAAAATTACTTTTTTTAAGTAAAGTTACAGGTGATCGAAATGGTAGCAGGACCTTAGCCTCGCCTGTTCGTTTGAAAAAAAGAATGATGCTGCTTTTTAGTGATATATTTTTTTATATAATAGGAAAGGAGATTTTGTTTATTTGCTCAACATAGTTTTTTCCGATAATCTATACTCATATTATAAAGTAAAAAGATTTGTCGCTTGTTTGTTTGCTTTATGCAAACGTCCCAAAACTATTAGATGAATTATAAAATTCTTTCACCTACGGGAAGCTTCTTAGTACTCGGCGGACATAGACTATAATTTACGCAGGTAAAGTCGTTGGGAAAGCGCTAGTTTCATAGAAATTGGTTCCTAAATTCAGAAGAAATCGATGAACATACCTACTTACATAAAAAATATACATGCTCGTTAAATATGGAAAATCCTCCTTTCAGCTTTTGAATACACAATATTTTGTTTTGTCTATGAAAAGCAATTTTACTTAAAGGTGACTGACTGACATAGTGATCTATCAACGCACAGCCCAAACCACTGGACGGGTTGAAATTTGGCATACAGGTAGATGTTATGACGAAGGCATCCGCTAAGAAAAGATTTTGATCAATTCTACCTCCAAGGGGATAAAATAGGGGATGAAAATTTGTATGAAACTTTGTCAATTTTAAACCAATAGGGCCAATAGGACAGATAGGACTTTGCATGCATAAATCTACTATGAATTAAGCATCCTCTTAGAAAGAATTTTGATCAATACTACCCCAAAGGGGATGAAAGTTTGTATGAAACTTTGTAAATTTTAAATCGATCGGGATGTGACTCCGTGTGCATAAAGCTACTATGACGTAGGCATTTCCTAAGAAAGGATTTTGATAAATTCCATCACTAAGGATATAGAATAGGGGAGGAAACTTTGTTTCAGGTATTCAACCCGATATAATGAATACATATTCGTTAGAAATCCAGCTCAAAGTGACTTTACCTCGCGGACGAAGTCGCAGGCTAAAGCTAGTTGTATTATAAAAGGAAAATTACTGATTTGATTTCGATAAAATTTAAATGTGACAACCTCGGTCCATCAAGCTGTAAGAAAAAAAAAGAATATTGATAATCAGTAAAATATAATGTTAAAGAGCATTTTAGTTCTATAATTGAGATATTAGAAATACTTGTGGGACTGCACTTCTTTGACTGGAAAAGTCTTTAATAAAGTGTTATACCGTAGTAAATATGACTAAATCAGTTGTAGTTGTAGTACAATCTTAATTAAACTTTTATATATCTGTTTTGCACTATAATACAATAAAATTACTTTTATAGTGCAAGTGTTATAGCATCATCCAAAAACCTTATGTAGGATCAATCTACGCTGTAAAAGTATCTTACAAACTTTTACGTAATATTTTAGTTTTTAAAAAGCTTTCGCGACATGTCTAGTTATGTAACGTCATAGAATCTCTATGTTTTCTTACATAGAACCTGTATGCTGTTTCAACGCTGTGCTCGACGTTAAATTAAACGCTGACTTTACTACAGAATAGCACTGCTGATGCCAGAAAACTTTTCTCAGAAATCACCCAAATATGTAATTATTGGCTGAAAAAAATATATTACATGAGATGTAAACTGTTGTTGCACTGGCAACTAGGATTAGGTATAATTTACCGAATGGTGACATCATAATACATGATGATAATTAAAAATGCTCATATGTAATTAAATAATTTATATTTTTAAATAATCAGGTACCTTAGTGGTAATTGTGTTATCTATCATATAAATTAAGTTCCGATCCTGGGAAATTCCGTTTTCATTTGTTTTAACATTGATGACAGGAATAAACTTATCATTTAATTATTACACTTATAGGAGTATAATTATATTTCATGTCATCTACATCATCATCATCATGTCAGCCTGTTGCAGTCCACTTTTGTTGATTTGTGGCGCACTCTGAGTGAGACCTACGTCCAGCAGCAACAGGTTAATATTTCATGTAACAACATAATGAAGTTACATTGAACTAAATTTAATTACATTTTTGAATGTTTTATCTTGAACCAAAAAGCGTAGCTCACTATACGCAATGCGGTGCTGGTCCCAACATCTATTGTATGGTAGCAACAGGTGGGAATGTCAGAGAGAGTATGAAAGTAGAATAAATGCAATCAAGATGCGTTCGTTACGTAAACTTTACGGAGTAACGCTCGCAGACCACGTTCGTTATGAGGAAATAAGAATGAGAGTGAACTTAAAAGGTAGCGTCGATTTAAGAATCATTAGAAGCATGTTGGTTATAACATGAATGAAAAGAATGCCGGATGAAAGAATGACAAAAATGTTAAACAACGCGGAAGGATGTAGAAGCCGAGGAAGGCAAATACCTTTCACGATCAAATTAGTTGCGTGATGTTGGAAGATAATGTTAGAAGTCATAAAAACCGGCGAGCATGTATAAAAAGAGTAAAGAAAGTGGAAGAAGTGAAACATGTATGCATGAATCGTGCCTCGTGGCACTCGGTCGTCTCTGCCTACCGCATAAAGATATAGATAGATTTCTAATAAAGTTTAAAAGAGAGTAAATCAGAAGACTAAAGAAGCATGACTAGTTTTCTGCTAACATTGTGTTGTTCGCTGGCACAATATGAAATGGCACGTCGATGCATATAAGTGGTCGATTATCCTGGTCTACAATTCTGAATTCAACGTTGGCTCGAGTATTCTGGAAGAAAAAGTAAGCGTATTAAATATATTGACAATTCCACCTTTCTTCCGTGGTTCCACCAGACCAGTTTTATTTAAAAGGGTATATTCTCAACGGGGTCCATTCAAATTAGTTGTTTTTTTTATATCTTGACTATGTAGTTGTCTCCTAAAATTACTCTGGAAGCTATATCATATGCTGGTGACGTAGGCTATAATTTACCCGGGTGAAATTGCAGAAAAAAGCTACAAATATTTTCGTATTTACCAATAGCATGACAGATGGTTCCATGAATATATTAAGTTCATAGTTTATAGTATGTCCTTTAGTCACAGGACAACTAATATCCAGTAGTAGGTCGCATGCTGCTGATAGGTGTCCCATAGGAAATGGCACTGGTACTGGTATAATACCGACAAACGCTGTGGCTAGAGTGTTCATATGTGTTATATCATGAGCTGGAAAAAAATTATATAAGTATTAAAATTTAAATAAAGAAAAATTTTGAAAGTAATTTCAGTATGTTGTTTTTTTAGCTTTCATGGTCATTTAAATTAATCAAAATTTAATATCCTAAATAAACAAATTCAAATCACGAGTTTTAAATGTATTGGGAACCACTCAAAGTACGCTGAAATATTGGTTAACAAATGTTACTTACGAGCTGTGAAGACCATATTGAGAACAGCATGTTGGTTTTGTGGCAGAAGACATGGTGGTGTGGCGCAGCCTTGAATGTAAACTTGCGATGGCAGAGCCCCAGGGAAATGAGTGCCTAGAAAAATAAATATAGGATTAAATTATATATATTTTGCAGTTATATAATAAAATATATTTCATGCCCTCCTATACAGACGGCTGCACAACAGATTAGCACAATGTCTTTTTGTAAGTGTTTTTGTATTCTACAGGTATAATACTAGGTACAGATGTGGCCAAAGAAAGAGTATGTTTAAAGAAGTAGTAAAAATAGTTAAACGAGTAAAATCCTTGCTACCCTGCAATTTCTTTCGTATCTCTTTCCCTATGGGACACTGGTAAAAAGTTTATAACAGAATTAGCCATAATTATAAAAAGTAGAGAAAGAAAGTTTTGCCTAATAGGAGAGCGCGGTTATTGAGGGACAGGGGGCGGTGGCACGGTACTGGTAGATATGGTGGACTGGCCGGTTAGGGAGTCACATTATTCGTGTCGTGCAAAACTTACTGCATTCACGACGCAGTACAAAGTTATTAACACCAACTATTACATTAGCGCTATAAAAAATGGCAGCAAAACTTTTTTAAATAATTGTTAAAGGTTTTTAAAAAATTAACGACTATTTGTGTTCAAATCGAACATATAGTAATGGATTACTCACATTTGTTGACAGCAGTGGATTGGCCCCGAATGACCAGGATCGTAGCCAAGAATACAAAATGTCGCTGCATGTTGATTGAGTGTTCAATTGAACTGATGGTGCTCCTTGCACCCTCCCAATATTTATATTACAGAAAATCTTATCATGATTCATCAGTTTGATAAATAAAGTAATTAGTAAATGCGCATTTAATAAAATAAATAAGGAAGTATTCACAAATTAAAAATGAGGAAGTACTCACAAATGTTTACGACAAAACTGATAAGCATGGTAAAGCGAATGAGAATCAACCAATTTTTGAAAATAAAGTTGATATACATGAATACAACAATTATTGAGGAAGAGAACACATAATAATAAATTTGTCTAATGCCACGAAAAAAATATCTCACTTTGCTATTTTGAACATTGCAATGGAGAGTGTATGACACGAAAGAGGGTGAAAAAAGCAGCCGTTGCTGAGTTTTTTGCTGGTTTTTCTTCAGTACAAGTTCTCTCGTAATAGTTTAGCGAACCGATATCATAGTTATTGACTTTCCCAAGTATTGTACCAGCTTAAACTGAATAAACTTATTGAATTTGATTTCTTATAAAGTTCTATGAAAAAGTGTAAAAGAGTCATGTGCAAGATAAATTGAAGATTTAAAAGCAATTTAGGCCAATTTAGATGTTGATATAGGATTATATTATAAGGTTTCTGTAGTAAACAAGGAGTAATAGTTTCGCCATGGCAGTCTGTTCGTCCCTCCGTCCGTTTATGGTTTAGCTTAAAAGCTATTGGTACTAGATAGTTATAATTTGGCATGAGTATACGTTAATTACGCCGAAAAAGTAGTAAAGTAAAATTTTAATTTCCCCCATAGTGTGGGGCGTCGTTAGAGTTCTATATGTAGATTTTGATAAACAAAAAAACGTCTTCTGTTTATCTTGTATTTTATTCTAGAGGAAGGAGTTAGATTCAAGTGTGTTGGGGTTGCCAACCTACAAACTAAATTAACAACAATATCGATCATCCCCCTTTACATGATGTTACCCTTACAATAAACATATATGTATAAAGTAAGTACACTAATAAATCTTATACACCATATATTATTACTAAATATATAAACTAAAAATCTAACATAGGTTATAATCTTTTGACCCTTGAGGAGCTTTTTTAAACCCTACCTTATCTAGTTCTAATAGGAATGTCTACAATCTCCTATTCTTTATCAATGGGATCTATAACAGGTACATCCCTATTGTTTGTAATTGGTATATCTATATCCAGACACTCTCCTTTTAAAAGTAACTATTTTTTCTATTATTCAAATAATTTTTATTTCTACGAACTACATTGCCTTCTTCATTTAAAACGTTATACCATCTTGGCACAACTTTACTTATAATCTTCCCCGGTACCCATGTTTTATTTGGAAAATTTTGCATTGTGTCGTTATCCTTTAAAATCTACCCTTCTATTTGCTGTTTTATTATAATTTTTTGTGTATTTTTCTTTAATTATTCTCATTTTTTCTTGATATTAATAGGCAATTTTGACTTTAAATCTTCTTTAATACAAGGCAAAGTAGTTCTTAGAAGTCTTGACATATGTAACTCTGATGGGGAATACTCTAATCCAGCAACAGGTGTTGTTCTGTATGCCAACAAACCCATCGTAAAATCTGAAATATCTTGTTTATATTTTTTCATTAACTGTTTGACAATTCCTACTGATTTTTTTGACAGACTATTTGATTCTGGATATCTAGGGCTAGAGTGTACTAATTCAATACCCAATTCTTTAGCAAACTTTGAAATTCGAAACTGGTAATGGCATATTATCAGTTTACACATATTTTAGGGATGTGTGCCAACACAATAACTTTAAACTGCTTAATAACATTACTAGAATTATTTTCTTTCAAATATTTAACTTTTATCCATTTAAACTAAATAATATTTCCCATTAAAATTACAAATATCAACACCAACTTTATAAAATAGAATATCTGGTATGTCATGTGACATGAAAGGTCCTTTTACATTTGATGACCTAAATCTCTCACAAGGTTTACAATTTAAAACAAACTTCTCTATATCTAGAGACATTTCTGGCCAAAATAAAAGTTTTCGAAGTCGTTTCTTAAAGTTCACAATACCAGCATGTCCTATATGAGCTATTTGAATTATTTCTTGCCTCAAACATTCTGGTACAACAATTATATTTTCATATTGCATTCTCTTTTACATGAAGTTCATTTCTCGATTACACTTTTGATCTTTACTATAAATATTTTTATCCTTATTTGGCCATCCTCTATTATAACAGGAGTGCACATATTGCAAGTTTTGACCTTTTATTGTCTAATTTTTTTTTTCTTATGAAATTGGCAACTCACTTTCTAAACCAAACGCTATTTCTGTATCAATTACATGTACGATTTCTTGCAAAGTAGGCTCTTATTTTTAATTATTATTAAAATTTCTAGATAAGTAATCAGCAATAAACATCTGTGAGCCAGGTATATTTTACCTCAAAATTATATTTCTAAAGCTTTAATACCATTGAATTTATATTAAAACTTTGTAGTCTAGCTGAATGCGAATAGTGAAAAAGGTTCCGAATACGCAGAATAATATCTACTACCAAACGAATATTCGACGCATCTCTATGTAATAGTTTACTAAATAAACTGTCTTTCTTTTGAATCTTTAGCTGATGTGCTTAATTCCTTTTTACTTTTTAATACAAATAAATTTAAAGAAAAATATCATTAAAAATAATTGTAGGTACAATGTTTACAATTTTACCATGGAGGTAGGCAGACATGGGAGCGCAGCGCGGCTCATAGTGGTGAAATAGTATATAAATGACTTCTCGCGAAACAATACTTTAATTTTTTAAGTGATTTTTCAAATTTTAAGGAATTAAGCACATCAGCTAAACATTCAAAAGAACGACAGTTAATTTAGTAAACTGTTACTTCTTTTTAAACTTATCTGCTTAAGATCTGGTATTTTGAATGTAGAATTGATCAAATATAATTATGACATTTTTTCAAGTAATTACATCTCTCGATTGTAAATACGAGTTCAATGAAATAAAATCTTCATCGCCTTTTCCCAAATTAACATAATATCATAAAAACTGAGAGTTAAGCTTTATTAATTTAGGAACTTTACTTTACTTACTAATTTAGGAACACCATTATTTACATACAATAGCAAAAAATATTTGTAATATTCGAATAAAATTACTGATAATGTTCTCGTACTTGATGCAATTTTTCTTCGAAGTTTTGTAAAACCAACTTCAAGCGATTACAGACATAAACCAATCATTGATGCCGTTTCGTTAATAAAGCGAAATTAGTGCCGTGTAAGCGGAGAATTAATATGTTAAATAAACTTTACGGTGGCATTTAAATCGGTCATCCTTTTTTAATAAGTTTAATATGTCATGGTTTAACTATAATCAACTGATTTTACACAGTTGGCCGCATTACATATACATATATATATACTTATTAGCTTTTATTTTATACGTGTGGTATAGTTTATTTGAGCAAAATTCTTTTTCTTTTAGAATACTTCTGTTATCAAATATTTATTTATACTTCTTGTCTTATCAGTTGTCTAAAAACAAATATTGATAATGACAAATTTCCATGTACACTTTCATACCCTATTTCCGCCTATTTTCCGCGATAAAAGGTAGCCTATGTCCTTTCTTAAGGTTAAGTCTATTTCTATATTAAATTTCATTAAAATGGGTTCAGTTGTTTGGGTGTCTAAGTGTAACAACACTTATTTGTCTTACCTTAAGTTATCGATACTTTTAATACGATTCTAGAATCTAGCAAAGTATCGATACTAGAACGATATGACGATCAAATTAGAACTATATCGAGTTTGCCAAGGCGTATGCAGTGATATTTACCAACTATATTAAATCAGCATTTTATAATCTACAATAAATATCAATAATCAGTATATCGAAAATTAACAATATCGCCGAAATACGAGTAAAATATCGAAAATAAACTATTGATTAGGAAACTTCATTACTATGGATTTACAGATAACTTATTGGATTTTACTGTCTCATACTTG